TACAAATTGAGATTTTTAACTAATCGGGTGATTTTCCCTGTAGGTGTTGACCATGTTTACCGTAGTCTCTGAATATAGTATCCAGTGAAGTACGTATATAGTATCCAGTTCTAACCATGTTTCAAAAATGGAAGCTAAAAGCCCCGAATTTAATTTTGTAATTAAATTAAAGACATTAGTTCCATTTCATCCTCAAGCGAATTTATAGAAATATATAATATAAATATATATTTATAATTATATATATATATATATGTACTAGCCGAGGTAACCGGCGCTGGCGTTGCTCGATTGGACATGGCTGCAATTTTATAACCGCGCCCGCCTGCATACCCGCATCCCCTGCCTAGAAATGCCTGCCTGCGTTCCCACTAAGCTACTCACCCCTCATTTCTTTTTACGGTATGCCCTTCGCAAGTGTTTGATTGTACTTAATAAGGGAATTCCATCGATAAAATCTTCTTATGTGGTCGTTGATGGGGCTTAAATTGTTTCAATGTTTTAGATATTCAATATATTTCCTATAGTATAGCGTTGTTCACAAATCTAATAATCAAACAAAAACAGGGATGAAGATTCAGAGCCTAATTCAACTGGAAGCACCCCCCTCCTTCGTCGTACGTTTACTATAAAGCTGGGTTTAATAAGAGGTTCTTTGTGAATTTTTCCCTTTTAATGCTTCAATAATCCTTCTCAAACATTCTTTGCATCAAAGATTCTTCGAATGCCAATTTAGGATGGAATCATATAAAGAAACTATTGGCTAAATAGCAAAAATCAATTTTGGACGTAGTTTGTCGCAGATTTCGTGCACTTAACTGAAACAATCTCAACCAAACATTCACACAAGACAATTTGTATGTCATATATAATTTACGGGTCAAATTTGAAAAGCATCGGATGAAAAACCAGAGAGTTATGGCCGAAAAGCGGGCTTTTTAACAGTTTTTCGTGGTTTTCGCGTTATACTCGGGGAGGTGAGCAAGACTAAAATTACATTATTTTATTTCTTGCATGATGACAATTTTTTTTTTGCGACAAGTTTAAAGAAAATCGGACGAAAAACGAGAAAGTTATTCGGGTATTTATTTTAAGTAACACGAAAACCCTATTTTTTCTCAGTTTTTGAAATTTTTTGTGAAGCCAATATTGCAGGAAAACTATCAAGGACTCTAAATAAACCTGGTTAAATGGGCTGATGTTTTGCATGAAGTGCTAAGAACATCAGCTCATCCAATAAACATTTTGTTTGCGTGTAACTTTGCTTTGGTTTTTGAAAAAAGTCGTACCCACCTTCACTTTTATCAATTTTTCTTCCAAAACCCGAAGGGCCTGGGCATTGAAATGTTGGTCTTGAGTTATGTTGGTAAATTTGCAATATGTCCATATAATGTCATCGAAATTGGTTGCGTAATGTGGAAGTGCCTATATAGGAAACACACACAGACAGACACACACACAGACTGGCATCTGTTATATATATATATATATATATATATATATATATATATATATATATATATATATATATATATATATATGTGTGTGTGTGTGTGTGTGTGTTGAGAAAGAAAGAATATTGTGTGAGAGAAAGTATAGCGTATAAGAAATGAAGTTAAGGAAGATAAGATAAAGAGAGAAAGAGAGAGAAAAGAGGGTGCATGTTTTTGTCTGTCACATTTAGTCTCCAATACGAATATATATATATATATATATATATATATATATATATATATATATATATTTGTTTATCACAATTCTTTATCTTTATTTTACACACATGTGCTAGGTCTGAGCGCGCATGTGCGTACACGCCTCAGAAGATGAATGATTTCACATGGACGTATGCATCTGATCGTCGCAGATTTAAAATTAAAAGGCCATTTAAACATATTTACAACATAATTACGCAGCTATAAAATGAAAGAACGCTTTAAATTATGCATGTACAAGTAAATGAATAAAGTAATGGTTAATTTAACCGAGGAATAATATACGATTCAACAAATTCACAGATAGATCATTTTATATACACACTCTCTCTGTATATATATATATATATATATATATATGTGTGTGTGTGTGTGTGTGTGTGTGTGTGTGTGTGTGTGTGTGTGTGTTAAAGATGAAACTGAAGTCAATAACGAGTGGCAATAGCCTATTTAATGTTTGAATGCAATCTTCAGATTATCCTGAAAATTGCGTGGAAGCATGAATCAGACTGTCGCCGCTCCGTGTTGACCTCATTTTCAACTTTTATAATTACATATGCTCTATCGCTGTTACTGAACACGCTTACTCGTAAATATAGAGTACTTCAAAACTATATTTTTATCATATATATATATATATATATATATATATATATATATATATATATATATATATATATATATATATATATATATATATATTAATGCATGTTTCATTAAATAATATAGACGAGTTTTGTCTATTTATTTAAGTAAGTTCCTTTCATATTGTCTGATAAGCTTAATAACATTATCATTGAAAGATGAAAGGAAATCATCATATTGATACATGTTTAAATCCAATCTAAGCTTTCGGCTTACATAAGACATTATCAAAGATGACAATTACATTTCAATATATCAAACAACACACGGATGAAACAATAATGAAAAATTTCAATGCAACGACAAAATCGTGTATACGAGACGCGGAAGCGAAAATCGCGTCGCGGCTCGTGACGTCACACATGTTGGTATAAACCAATGGGTTCTGTTATATATATATATATATATGTGTGTGTGTGTGTGTGTGTGTGTCGAGCGAGAGAGGGAAAGAGCGAGAGAGAGAGAATTACGAGCGAGATGGGTGAGAAAAAAAGCTTCTCGCATACAACGTACGGTTGCATCTAGGCATTTCAACTGTAAAATGATGAGGCCTTTCCGTCAACCTAGAATTGTACTTAAATTCATAAAGTCTAGGTTTCTTAGATGAATTTTCATCAGAACAATTCCCATTAAAATATTTATACAGAAGGCACACGTTGCGTCGGTGGGAAATTGACTGAAGCCGAAATGCCAAGTCAGGGCCAATAATATTACTGATTCTTCTTTGGATTTTAACAGGGATCTGTAAATATATAACAGGAGCACCAGACCATATGTGGCCAATATATATATATATATATATATATATATATATATATATATATATATATATATATATTTACCCGGAGTTATATTCCCCGATTTCTTTTTGAATTTGTAGGTTTGATGAATTGGATCGTGATTACGATTCCAACGTAATAAATTTTAACCATGGAATATCAGTGTCTGAGCCTTTTATATTCTATGCTTGCTTTGTCCTGGACATTGAGCTCTGTCTGGATTCTATCCTCTTTGAAATATATATATATATATATATATTTGTCGCTAATATTATCAAGATATACAGTGTAACCCTGATATAAGAGACCCGGATATAAGAGAAACCCGGATATAAGAGAGATTTTCTCTGGTCCCAAATTAGAGCCTGTGTTAATGTAAACAAAATAGACCATATATATATATATTAAACCTAACGAGCCGGACAACCTGCTACGGTTTCTCCTAAGCTTACTCGTATCGTTTTTTTTTTTTTTTTTTGGCTTTGAACTTGAATGGTAGACGACTATTTTAGGCTAACGTATATGTTCTCTGTTCTTTCTTTTTTTGTACCATTTTTTACATTTTGGTATTGGTTTGTTTATTCCCAAATCAAGGCACCTAAGGTTTTCCGGACGAGTAAAATTTCTTATATTTATAAGATAACAACTAGCATATATATATATATATATATATATATATATATATATATATATATATATATGAAAGAAAAATACAGAAAAACAAAATTCTGAATATGCATTATTAATGTTAAAATAAAGTCGACGTCGGACGTTTCGGTCTATTTAAGACCATCTTCATGGACATTTTCATTTAAACATAATTAACATTATAACTTATAACAATTTAACACAAAAGACGATAGACATAAGAGCCCAACTAATTCAAACAGATAACTGAAATTTTATACAGATCAGCGTTCTGTTTAAATATGATCACGTAGTCGTCTCGTGGGCGATGTTGTTAAGACGTATTCGAAGATGATTTCCAAAAATTAAAATATCAAAAGTCGATTGAAAAATTTTTATAAAAAGTTAAAGAAATCTCTTCCGTTGATGTTGGAATACGTAGTGAAACAATTGGTTCTTATATCTTCAACATATCGGATTTATATCCATATATTTGCTTACATATATATATATATATATATATATATATATATATATATATATATATATATATATATATATATATATATAATAAACAGAGCATTTACTTAAATATTTGTATCTATAAAAATAACGTATAAACAATAAATATATTAATATATATGTGTATTTGTGTGTACATAGATACGTGTGTTTGAGTTTATGCACATATATGGAGATATATATCTTCTTTTATGTGCCATGTTCCTTCAGTACATAGGCGGTCATAGCTCTCCACAACTTCCTGCCTTTTGTTTCCTGCTAGAAGTAATTTTTAACCGTTTACTATCCCTATTCTTTGCTCTGTCTAAGCTCGTTGCGTTGTTTACTCGCTTTCCTCCTACTTCTGTCTCTTCTGTGAATAAGATGTGAGCCTTAGATGTAAACGCGGTGGAATGGATAGTGGCTTGGAACGAGAAATCGGGGAATCGAGTTCGAATCCCAGCCGCGTTCGTTGCATTCACTTTCGCACAAATATATTTGGGAAAAGGTATGAATCCGTCTGCTCTCTCCTTAGCTAGCTTTAGTTTAAGTAACAGAACAGACTGGGGTCTCAAAACAACCGTTAGCAACCGGTCAAGGAAAAGAGCAACTGTAGATGGATTCATATCCCGTGAGTGTCAGATTCGCTAGGCTTTCTGTTCTCATTATGCGTCCCACAAATGTCAGTTGTCTCTTAATTGTAAACATCAGTTTATTCGTTCCTATTTTTTCGGTTTACGACCACATCACATTGAAAAACAAGCTCTCGTACAATCATCGAAGTTAAGCAACGTCGAGTCTGGTCAGTACTGAGATGGGTGGCCTCTTGTGAATACTAGGTACTGTAAGCTGGATGTGCGGGTGGTGCAAGGAATAATGTCTTGGAATCGAGTTCCAACTGCGTTTGTTATATTCACTTACGCTCAAATACTCTTGAAAAGGTATAAACCCACCTCTTCTCCCCCAGCTATGGGTTAATTAGTAGTATTTGTATCAGTAAGTCGTTATTATTTTCCAAAAATTCTTATAACGTAAACATATTTTCAGGCATTAAATATCCTTTAAAAAGTTGATACATAGTAAAAAGTATTAATCTTATTTTATTTTACATTTCCTCTAGGCTATCAAATTAAAAATCAGCATTATAAAACCCACGGGGTATTTTTGAGAAAAAATGGGATGTGCTTATATGCCAATAAACATACTAATGTGAAAAGAAATTAGTAACATATTTTAATAATAGTTATCTATGCTTCATGTAATAAATAAGATAAAAAAATAATCTTACGATCTACTTTTAAAGGTAAGATAGTTCTCGTCGAACACAAGTAAAACTTGAAGGTGATAGAAAGGCCGGATATTGCTATAGATTTAAACAAAATTATAGGATACAAAGATGACAGTCGTTTGCTTCAAAGTCAGAGCCATTGGAACTGTAAAAAGAAAAACAAACGAAAAATTAGAAGAAGTCTGTAAGAATTAAAAATCCTCAGAAGAAATGAAACTAAACAAAGAACAGCATTCTAGAAATCTGTAAGAAATTTGTATCAAAGAAACTTGTCACCAGACCACTTTTTGTTAAATTTTACAATTCATTTGTTATTAGCTAAGAAGAGATGCCGAACTTTGTCCACTAGAAAAAATATTAAAGAATCTAAAAAAGATTTCTATAACAAATAGTAAACAATAGAAAACAACGAGAAAACGTAAATCATATAGAAATCGTTTCGTTTCTCAATCTCTTATAAATTGTAATCGTCTTCCAATGAGCGCGACAGCGGAATTGCCTTCTTCTGCCCAAGCTTTTGAATTTTTTTTTTCTATTAGGCTGAGCGGATGCAAAACCCATGCGTAAACTGAGAGGAACAGTGTTTATTAGAATGGTTCACCTCCTCTCACCGGATCTTCTGGTTGGCGGGGGAAGAACGAAGTGAAAAACAGGGTAAAACTGCCACAGTCTGCAGTTGAATGCTGAATTATTTCGTAATGTGATGGAGCAGATAAGGAATATGGCTAAAAGGCGACGATAATGTTCAACATACAATTACGTAAGACATCTTTGGTTACAACAAGTACTAATATGTTGACTATATTTCTCTCGTTTGCGTGAAGAGCTAGGAAGGGTCTCTAAACTAGGACAGGAAATCAATAAACTAATTTTTCAAGTTCAAGTTCCTTCAGCTTAGCGGGATGGTAGCAGCTGTTAGGTTACCAGCTATGGGCAAATAGTGAATTCCCAAACTGGGTTAAAACATATATATATATATATATATATATATATATATATGATTATTTATTTAAAAAATTATAACATAAATGTTGCAAAATTTATTACTATTACTATATATGTATATAAAATACTATATTACTATATATATATATATATATATATATATGATTATTTATTTAAAAATTATAACATAAATGTTGCAAAATTTATTACTATTACTATATATGTATATAAAAATACTATATTACTATATATATATATATATATATACATATGATTATTTATTTAAAAATTATAACATAAATGTCATAAAATTTATTACTATTACTATATATGTACATAAAAATACTATATTACTATATATATATATATATATATATATATATATATATATATATATGGTTATTTATTTAAAAAATTATAACATAAATGTATAAATGTTATAAAATTTATTACTATTACTATATATGTATATAAAATAAAATATATATATATATATATATATATATATATATATATATATATATATATATATATATATATATATATATATATATATATATATATATAAAATACATTTTATAGTAAAAAATACTGCAATATATTTTCATAGCAAAAAAAAATTGACAGCAATAAACATTTTCAAAGAAAGAAAAAATTGCAGCAATATATTTTTGAAAAAAAGAAAAAAAACAAAAATATTAGATTGGTGCAAAAATAATGTCATTTTTTGACGTTCAAATTTAAAAGAGAAAACGACATTATTTTTGCACGAACCTAATACCAAAGCTCCTAATAAAATTAAATTCGGCATTAAATGGCCCATAAGGTGTTGACATGCTGTTAAACAAGCCAGACCAAAACCAAAAGATTCAGCTTAATTTCTTCAATTTCTAACTTGGTTAATTTTTCAATTTGTCTAAGTACTGCGCCCAAGCATACAATTACTACCAGTAGCTTGTAAAATCCACATCTATTTTGCCATAATTCCCATATATATGTCTGTGTGTAATAAGGATATTTACATTTAAGATGCGATGGCTTTCATAAAGTCTGACAAATGAATTTAATTAAAATCAGAAATTTCTCTCACTCCTTAAGCAGTTAATCTTTGGATAGAGTTGCAACACAGACCAATATTTTGTTGGATTTCTCTCGCCTACAGTGAGAAACTTGAGATGCGTACGCCGACAAAAGGGATATTTGGGGCCACTAGACAAGAGCAGTAAATCAATAACACACTTTTCCCAGTTTAAACCTTTGAGCCCTGACCACTGCTTTACCGGTGGTTGAGAAAAAAAATGACGTAATGCCCAGCCACCGGTTGAACGGTGGTAGAGAAAAATGACGTAATGCCCAGTCACCGGTTGAACGGTAGTAGAGAAAAATGACGTAATTCCCAGTCACCGGTTGAACGGTGGTAGAGAAAATAACGTAATGCCCAGCCATCGGTTGAACAGTGGTAGAGAAAAAATGACGTAATACCCAGTCATCGGTTGAACGGTGGTAGAGAAAAATGACGTAATACCCAGTCACCGGTTGAACGGTGGTAGAGAAAAATGACGTAATTCCCAGTCACCGGTTGAACGGTGGTAGAGAAAATAACGTAATGCCCAGCCATCGGTTGAACAGTGGTAGAGAAAAAAATGACGTAATGCCCAGTCATCGGTTGAACGGTGGTAGAGAAAAATGACGTAATGCCCAGTCACCGGTTGAACGGTGGTAGAGAAAAATGACGTAATGCCCAGCCACCGGTTGAACGATGGTAGAGAAAAAAATGACGTAATGCCCAGTCACCGGTTGAACAGTGGTAGAGAAAAAATGACGTAATGCCCAGTCACCGGTTGAACGGTGATAGAGAAAAATGACGTAATGTCCAGCCACCGGTTGAACGGTGGGTACACATTTGTAACTATTTTGATATCTAACATGAAACATTACATAACAATTATTTGCGAATTTTGACTCAGGAGCTCAAGCAGAAGTGTTTAAAATTATTCAGGAATAAAGAGCTAAAAGGGTTAAATTTCATTAAACTAATTACTATTGCTTACTTGTACACGTTTCTTCAGCTTATGTTTAATACATGTCTGCGTGTATTTGTGTTTGCGCATGCGTGTGCTCACTCTGACGTGTTCTTAAACTTAGTTTTCTCTGATGCAAAATCTAAAGCGTTAAAACTCCGTTATTTAACTAACTACAGAAGAAATGATCTGACTAGCTTGTTAGCCATTACTAATTCACCCTATATAATTACTAAGCTTAGCTTCGGTTAGAATAGAACTCACTATATACGAGTAACTGTCTCCAAGACATTTTTTTTCACTTTTGCTTCAAAGCTAGTCGCTATCTGTATAAAAAAAAAAAAAAAAAAAGAAGAAAAGAAAACAGATCGATTCAAATTAGGGCGCTCAAATCCTTTTAAATGAAGCTGCTTAGTATGAGCTAATTAGCATATTGACGTTATCCGAATAATCTAGTGTAATCTTGTGTAATTACCCGATCAAAACCTATTGGACAGGGAGAACGGAGTGCCTAGGGCACTGGAAAATCTGGCGCCGATCCTGAAATGAATTTTACAAAAAAAAATGTATTGACTGAATTTAGACTAATCCCATAGCGCCAGGGAATCGGCGAGAATTGCGCAGTTATGAGATAAAGAGCGGGAACTGTTTTGTGGGTGTGCGCTTCAAATATTTCCGGATAAAACTGAAGATATCTCGTCATTGTATCTGATGAATGTCAAATTAATTAACACTTTATGAAAGGCAGATAAAAGTAGCCTACCTCTTTCTCCCCCTAAATCTATCTATGTATCTGTCTGTCTGTCTGTCTATCTATCTATCTATCTATATATATATATAATATTAGTGGTTAATATACACATACATATAGGTACATATATCTAAAACACACAAATATATATACATACATACATGCATACACACACACACTCACACACACATACATATATATATATATATAATTATTTATTTAAAAATTATGACATAAATATGTTATAATAAAACTACAAAAATAGCCATTTTGTTTCAACACCCCCGGTGTCTTATCAAGTGATGATGTTTTTATATTCAACATCATCACTTGATAAGACACCGGGGGTGTTGAAACAAAATGGCTATTTTTGTAGTGATTTTATAAATTATTTATGTCATAATTTTTAAATAAATAATTATATCTGCTGTACTCCGTACTGAGCACTCTTTTAAGAATAGTAATTGTTGTTTATTGAATTCATTCCGTATACACCAATCATATATATATATATATATATATATATATATATATATATATATATATATATATATATATGTGTGTGTGTGTGTGTGTGTGTGTGAAAAGTGTATATAAATATAAATAAATATATATATGTATAATTATTTATATATTATATGCGCGGTACTTATTAGAAAGCGCTCAATATCAGAGATAGAGCTAACATATTTTGTTGGATAGATGTGAGTTTGTGACCTGGGTTTCACGCTTTAGCGATCGTCAGAAAACGCTAAAGTGTGAAACCCAGGATCACAAACTCACATCTATCCAAACAAATATATATATATATATATATATATATATATATATATATATATATATATATATATATATGTAAAAAAATTCCAAGAGGATAGAATCCAGGTAGAACTCAATGTCCAGGACAGAGTAAGGATATAAAAAAACATATAAAGACGGTTTTATAACGTGTTGTCACTTTTGACAGTTCCATCTTGAACCAATAACACCGGACATAACATTTAAATGAATGACTATTATGATTATCTATATATATCATTGTCTATGTTGAAGTGATGCTGTATTTATTTTTTTTTGCGTTAACAAACTTTATTCATGTGTTAATATATGTGTATGTGGGTATGTAGGTAGAAGATTTCCCTAATAACTGATACGCGAAATCAGAAATTATTTATGTACCTAGGTATATATGTAAACGTAAGAGATAGATACGCGTTAATCACTTCGCGGGTTTTTAATATTTTTTATTATTCTCAACGCTTTCTTTCTCAATGTTCTTGAACTATAAATTAATTTAATCCCGCCCGTATATTTTTATATGTTAAATGTATATATGGATGGATATGGTTCTTTAATTTTTTAATTAATTTTTTGGATTTTGAAAATTTTTTTTAAGCTTTTCCTTTTGATTTATATATAGATATGTATGTGTGCGTATATATATATATATATATATATATATATATATATATATATATATATATATATATATATGTATATATGTAGGTAGATGTGTATGTAGATGTGTTTATATATGTGTATGTGTGTGTATGTTAAGGTATGTATGTATACATATGTATATGAATGTGAGTGTATAGGTATGTATGTATAGTTAGACGGATATATTGAGAGATACGTTGTTTATTTGTTTGGATGGGTGTAGGTATGTAATTGTATGGAGATGTGTAAGATTTTATGTATATATGTTTATGTGCACGTATGTGTATGTCCGTATGTATATGTGTGTGTAAATGTGTATATATGTAGGAGTGGATGTGTATGGATGTATGTGTATATATATATATACACACACACACACACACACACACATATATATATATATATATATATATATATGTGTGTGTGTGTGCACACGCCTATATGGATATATGTACGTGTAAATATAGATATGTTGTTGTGTATGTGAGTATAAGTATGTATTTTTGAACATACAAGTAATTGGTCCTTGCTAGTTTAAATAATCCCTATATTTATATGTTTATATTAGATTTTGTAACCTGTAGTCGATATTATGTTGTCAAATTTTCTTGATTGCACAGCGGCCCTTTTATAAATGCCCTTCGGTTTTAGCTGACCCCCCATATCTTCCCCAACCTCCCCCCATTTTTTCCTCCCTCTCTCCTGTTCCGATCTTGTGTAGATTATATCGTCTATTGTGTGTGTGTGTAACCACAAAATGTATACTCTTTTCCGGTGTCTATCTTTAATTTATTTTAGGTCAACGATTCAGAAAGGTATTAGACATCCGAGAATATTCATATTTATTTGTATCTGACTCCCCTCTTTAAAACTTCTTTCTGTTAAATTTTAATCCCCACCTTCACCTTTAGACCTTCCTGTTCTTCTCTCGTCTGGTACCCCTTCTTATAGCTTTCATTTACTCTCGCATTCTTCCCGCACTCTCATACTTACACTCACTAAATTTTATTTTTTACTCCCGGAGTTATTTTTTCTGATTTCTTTTTGAATTTGTAGGTCTGATGAATTGGATCGTATTTACGAATCCAGTTTAATAAATTATGACCATGGAGTACTAATGTTTAAGCCTTTTTATTATATATATCTATATCTATATCTATCTATCTATCTATCTATCTATCTATCTATCTATATATATATATATATATATATATATCAGTATGTTTACATCTATCTCATTCTTTCTTTTCATATCTATCTATCTTAGACTGTTTACATCTATCTGTCTATCTATCTTAGATTGTTCACATCTCTCTCTCTCGCTCTCGCTCTCTCTCTCTATCTATCTATCTATCTATCTCAGTATGTTCACATCTATCTCACTCTTTTCATATCTATCTCTCTTAGACTGTTCATTATCTATCTATCTATCTATCTATCTATCTATCTATCTATCTATCTATCTATCTATCTCTGTATGTTCACATCTATCTCACTCTTTACATATCTATCCATCTATCTATCTATCTTAGAATATTCATATCTATCTATCTATCTATCTATCTATCTATCTATCTGCTTTAACGCATCTGAAAGCTATTTCGTAGTCATCGTATCAAAACGCGTATATACGAAAAGACTTACGAGCTTTCTTCTGTCTATATACGACACTTTTTCTTTTCGGTATTGTCTTGACGTTTCTGCGTTGTCAAAGAGAGTAAACAAGAATCATATTATACAGTGTAACCCGGATGTAAGAGAGTTGTCGGGACCGGAGAAGAAGTCTCTTATATCCCGGTTTCTCTTATATCCGGGTTTGGTCTATTTTGTTTAGGTAAGTATGGGAACACTTTGGGACCAGAGAAAATCTCTCTTATATCCTGGTTTCTCTTATATCAGGGTCTCTCATATATCCGGGTTACACTGTAGTCATATTGTAGTTGTGTTAGAATTCCTATCGTGGACATTGCGACATTACACATTTCTACATGATCTTCTCCATAAATTAAGCAATCCAAGATCCTGAAATTGGTCACATTCCACAACGAACAGCTAGGATAGCACTAAACCTAGCACCTGCACCACAGAAAAATGCGAAAGCAATTGGGAAGCTAAAATATGTTAGGGTTTACCAGGTTGATTGCAACCCTTCCGAAATATGCAAGCGCAGGTGACTAGTTCTCCTGGTTTGGTGCTGTAAACAGAGATAACTATCCCATAATTTTAAAGGCGAAGTTAACATAATCCTATATATATATATATATATATATATATATATATATATATATATATATATATATATATATATATATATATGATTTCTGAAGTCGGTAAAGGTAACATAGCAATTTCATTGGCTCCTGGTATTATGACATGGTTCACTCTAAATCCACACTAGGTTTCAGAATGGTGATGTACAGCAATTTTAGCTGATAGCTTAGCTAAGAGAATTCATTCAAGGATTTAACGTGCAAGAGACGGATACCTCGGTAATTCAACCAATCAAATCTGTCTCTCTATTCACACACACGTTTCTCTGTTGTACACACACACACACACACACACACACACACATACATATATATATATATATATATATATATATATATATATATATATATATATATATAATTACTTATTCGAAAATTATAACATAAATATGTTATAAAATCACTACAAAAATAGTCACTTTTTTCAACACTTCTGGTGTCCTATCAAGTGATAATTATATTTGCTCTACTCTGTAATGCGCACTCTTTTAAGAATAATATTTGTTGGTTATTGGAATTTATTCCGTATACACCAATCCTATACTTGATATATATATATATATATATATATATATATATATATATATAAAAAATAAAAGAGATTTTTATACATTATTTTATATAGATACAAATATTTAAGTATACGCTTTGTCTATAATACACAGTATTAACAACATTTACCGGCATGAATGTCCGAGAAAATATGCGTCCTCTGACAGGAATCGAACCTGTATCCTATACGGAACCGTCATATAGACTAACATGCTTTTACCGATTTCGCCACAGAAGAGCGTTTCAGTTTGCAAGGTCGATTTTACTATTTTTAAACTACAATTTTCCATGATTTTCTCACGTACATATCTGCTCGATGCGTATCCAAATGTAAACAAATGACGTCACACATTATGAAATGGACAAAGTCAGTCAATTATTTTAAGACATTATTATAAACAGAGCATTTACTTAAGTATTTGTATCTATAAAAATGAATGTATAAACATAAAAGTGTCTTAAAATAATTGTCGCACTTTGTCCATTTCATAATATATATATATATATATATATATATATATATATATATATATATATAGGTATATGTGTGTGTGTGTGTTAGGTACTAATAATTTTCTAAGAAAGAGCATACCATGATGAAAAAAAAGGCACCAAACTTGATAAAAACAAAATTTTATCGTCAAAAAGAAAATTCTAGTACATCCGAAATTTTGGTTAAAAATCTTAGCCCCAAGATTACTAGTAGAAATTTTAGCGACTTTTTTTGGCGTTAAAAACAAATTGTTTTGGAAATTCTTGCAAAAATCAAATAATTGTTAGATTTTGATGAAACGTTCGGGACATATTCATAAATGAATTAAATTATTTTTGAAATTTTTTATGTTTATATTTATTAATTTTTTTTTTTTTACATTCGTTACCTCCACTTAATTCTATGAAATTTCGAGAAATTATATTTCATGCTCTTCATATTTATATTAGTTACAAGCAGGAGTTCTTGGAGAATTTAAATCACCAATTTGTTTTTTATCAAACGGAAACACTATTTACCGAAAATCTGCCCTGAATTGTAAAAAATGCAATAAAACTATGGCATCATTTAATTGGAAATGTTTTAATTACTTTTATAAATAAGATATATTAAGGATACTAAAAAGAAAAATAATTGGTGAATAATGAATTTTACAAGAACTGTTTTAATTTTTTTTTTAAATTTAATAAGAAAAAATTATTTAGTTTGAAATCTTTTAAAATTTTGTATTAATTCCAGCCTTTCAGATGATATTATTATTAAGTGAAAAATATAGTTATTGATCATAAATGTAAAAACTTAATACAAATCTTCAAACATTAAAATTTTTAAAAGAATTTTGAACTTTTTGTATATGTATAAACGGTTCATTTTTTTAACGTACGGATGACCATAAATTATCAGAAAATAAGAGCTATACCTGCATTAAATTTCAACATTTAATAAAACATTAGATTACGGAGAATATTTTTCTTAATGTTTAAGATTACTGAGTAATTAAAAATGATATTAAAAAGGCGCTCCGTCATTTTCTTAAATTATGTTTTACAGATAAAGTCTCCGTCGAACAACATTAAACCTGTCATCAGGCTACCAACACGTCAAAATATATACTGTAGGATTAAAAACACAGCTACTGTCAGGTTAAAAAATGTATTTCTGCGATATTTTAAACTTAAAGTAAATAATATTTGTTTCAAATCAGATTAATTATGTTTTAAATCAGCTAATATTCCTCAAATAAAGTTGCAGAATATTTTATAGGTTCCCAAGTAGGCTCCTGATCTCATAGGTTCCCAAGTAGGCATCTATGCGGACGACACTACTATTTACTCCTGTCTCAAAAACAAATCTGACAAAACTAACCTGGCCGTTTGTCTCGAAAAGGACCTCCAATCGTTTATCGACTGGGGCAGAAATTGGCTGGTTAACTTTAATGCCTCAAAAAACAAAACTGCTCTCTAATACTCACCACAGAGAACCACCCCTGTCTCCCATTAGAATGTCTGACGCTCAACTTCACGAGAGCACCTCTTTGCGACTGCTCGGTCTCACATTGTCTGCTGACCTAAGATGGAACAATTATATTGAGTCAATAGCTTCGTCCACCGCGAGGAAAGTTGGCTCCGTATGCCGCGCCAGGAAATTTTTCTCGTTAGAGTCGATCCTTCAAAACTACAAATCAACCATTCGCCCTTGCATGGAGTATTGCCGTCATATATGGTCTGGAGCCCCTTATGTTTGTGTTAAGGTTCTTGATAAGATCCAGAGATGGATATACAACGTAATTGGCCCTGATCTGACATCTCGTCTGTACTCGTTCTCTCACAGACGTGCCGTTGCCTTCCTCTGTCTTTTTTACAAATACTTTCATGATAACTGCTCCGATGAGCTGCTTTCGCTGGTTCCCAGACTTTCACTGTTTAAACTGTTAAGTGTAGCCGTCTCTTCTACTTCACTAGCTCCATGTCTCGCACTTCTCGCCTGTGGAACTCCATCCTCATTTCTTGTTTTCCTGATAGCTATAATCTCTATTCAACTATTCAAATGTAATGTCAATCGATGTCTCCAGATGCCTTGATCTATCCCCTATCCTTCTCTTCATCCTTTCCTCTTATCACTCCTCTTTACTCTCGCGCAAATTCTCTGTAACCCTTTGTGTGCTAGTGGCTTCCCGCCTTGCTTGGGGTGAAACGTTTAAAATATATATATATATATATATATATATATATATATATATATATATATATATATACCTCTCAGAAATACTTCTCATATAAGGGGGAGACATTAGTGGCAAGGGTGTCTTCATCTAGCTCATTGCTAACCATTATGTGAGAGGTATTTCTGCCGTATCCTGTATATGATGGACAAAAGATGAGTAAAATAATTTCTATAAGGCTTCGTCTAAGTTTTCATTCATAGTCTATAATGCCCGTCGCAGTACGTTTTCTTATATGAATGACTTTAGTTGGACAAGGTTAATAAGTTATTAATGAAAACAAAGACATAAAACAACCTTTTAACATTGAAAGTTTACAATGATAAGAAATATGTCATGTCGGTTGCTGTGCATTCTAAATAGTTTTTGTTGTGTCAAAGTCCTCCCGATTAACAAGATACTAAATTTGCCCTAAATTTAGAGATAAAATGTATTATTAGAAAAAAATTGTGAGTTTCCATTGTAGCTTAATCAGAGACAAACACAGTTGCGCAAATGTTCAGAGGGTGAAAGTTTTTGTTAATTTCCAACCAGGCCTTAATCTGCATGTCAAAGTCTATCATATGACATTGCATGTCTTGTAATTAATTTGATATATGATTTGTTTTGTTTCGTTTAATTCATTGAAATAAGATCTTATTCTCCGGAAGATCGTGTGTCATCAATCTTCTCAGAGTTGAAGGAGAGTGTATTTAAAACGGAATTTGACATTCACAGCTCGACTTTTACTTTGAAGTGAATTATGATGGCGCAGTGATTAACAAATATGACTCACACAGATGCGATGTTAAGATTTATTTTCCCTAGATGGTCTTAGGATGTAAACTTGTTTCAAACCTCTCTCTCTCTCTCTCTTTCTCTGTCTATCTATCTGCACACCATTCACACTTCAGAGTTTCCTGTGAAGGTCGGTAATAGTATATTCTTCTTTGTTTAAGAACTCGATGACCATTCTTTCCTTTGAGTTCATATCTTTAGTTACGCAACGCCTTAAAAAAATCATGCATTAAAAATACTTTTGTGGAGTAAAAGTAAAACATTTCTACTGATATTCTTAGGTGAAAATACCTTCCTTTTTATATGCTATGATTTTCAGGCCGTGGGCGATCATGGCACTCCACAACTTCCTGTATTTAGTTGCTCAAAGTAACTTTTCACTCTTTACCTCTCCTCTCTGTCCCCTGGTCTGCCGATAATTCAGACAATCTTTAAATATGTCACTCGCTGTTGTCACCTGTTTCTCTTGACTTCAAAATGTCTCGTGGGTGTTAAATTCTCCAAGTCCTCTATCCTCATCCTGGATCCAAGAAATTTCAAGTTTTTCTTTCTTATTGTGAGCCACGGCTTTCTTGTAGATCCTTTTCTCCTTAAAACCTTCTCATAGTCTGACCATCGTATTTTAAACATTACTCCATTATTTTCAGTGGGATTCTCGTATGCATCTACGCATGCGTATAATTTTTTTCTTTTAGAAACTTTAGAAGAAAATACAAAAAAACAATAAAATAAACAAACAATTCAGAATTGTCCTTCACCTGGGCGTGTTGCCAACCAAGACTATAGGACAATATCTGCTCTGCTATTTACTAATAGCAAGGGGAAAGTGGATTCATATATTTCCCAAGAGTTTTTGAACGTAAGTGAATGAAACCCAAATTGAATTCGATCTCAGCTCTCTGATTTCTCAAACCGATAATATATAAATAATCAAGTCACCACACTACACACATGGCCTGAAGATTGTGTTCAAGCATAAAACAGACGCCACTCGATGGTGACGTCAGTTACCACTCTTATATTTACAAGTGCTCTATCCTTAAAATTGTGCATAAATGTAGTATACCTTCAAATATATATATATATATATATATATATATATATATATATATATATATATATATATATATATATATCAGGGGAATGAAGGTTACTCTGATTATTATGCAGAAAATGTAAAATATTTTATTTTTGTAGATTTACTACAAGCTGCCTACCCTGATTAATTACTGACGACACGTCCTTGATATATATATATATATATATATATATATATATATGTGTATGTGTGTGTGTGTGTGTGTGTGTGTGTGTGTGTGTGTGTGTGGTTCTGACATTGGGTAAGTGTAGGATTTTGAGTTTAGTAATGAATGCGTCTAATTTTTTTTTTTAAGCCCCGAAGATTTCTGCACGTAATCAACTCCGGATGAATAAAGAAAAAAAAAAAAAAAAAAGAAAAAAAGAAAAGAAAAGAAAAGAAAAAAGAAACTAAACTTGTATAAAAGCGAAATTTATTTATTATCAAAATCTCTTATATTATTTGTAAGGAGAAATAATGGGAAAAAATTACATTACACTTCTTTTGTGCGCGCGTTCAATGCATAAGGTGATATGCACCCAAAACTAGCACAAATGGCTCCGAAGGTTCTGCTTCTATGCCTGTATGCTATTTATGCACGTCCACATTTCTCCGCCTATATCGATGGAATTGTATACACATATTTCAAATTTACCACGATAGATCAAGACCACCTTTTCAATATCCAGGTCCCTCGGGTTTGGCATAAAAATCGATAAAACTGAAGGTGGGTATGATTTTATGCAAAAAACAAGGCAAAGTTACACGTGGACAAAATATTTACTGGATGAGCTGATGTTCTTTACACTTAATGCAAAGCAAAGCTCATGTAACGAGGTTTATGTAGAGTGCTTGATAATTTTCCTGCAATATTGGCTTCACGAAAAAAAAAAAATTGCAAATCCTGAAAAAAATCAGTTTTTTTGTTTTGCTTAAAATAAAAACTTGAATAACTTCATCATTCCTTAACCGATTTTCTTCAGAAATGTCGCGAAACATTTGCCATCATGAAAAAAAATATGATAATATGGTTTTAGTCCTGTTTGTTTTCTCCAGTATAACGAAAAACTATGAAAAACTTCAAAAAGTCAATTTATTCGCCACAACTTCCTGTTTTTCATCTGATGCTTTCAAAATTTGCTATGTAAATTACATATGACACACAAATTGTCTTGCGTGAATGATTGGCTTAGATTACTTCAGTTAAATGAACGAAATCTGCGACAAACTAGGTCTAAAATCGGCCTTTGCTATTTAGCCAATTGTTTCTTCATATGATTCCATCCTAAATTGTCATTCGAACAACATTTGATGCAAAGATTGTTTGAGAAAGATTATTGAAACGTTAAGAGGAAAATATCCCAAAGAACCTCTTATTAACCCCAGCTTTACAGTAAACGAGCGAAGAAGGAGGCGAGCATTCATGCGTTTTCACTTGCAGTTGAATCTAGCTCTGATGCTTTATCCCTGTTTTTGTTTGATTATTAGATTTGGGAACAATGTCATACTATTTGAAAGTTATTACGGCCATAGGAAATTTACTGAATATCTAAAACATTGAAACAATTTAAGTCCGAACGACGACTGCACAAGAAAGTTTTATCGACGGAATTCCTTTATTAAACAATCAATCACTTGTGAAAGACATACCATAAAAAAGATGAGAGAAGAGTAGCTTAGTATACCAAAGGATGATGCATGCAAGACAGGGGGTGCGAGTATACAAGGGAGTGCGGTTATACAATTGCAGTCACGTACAGCTTGACAACGGCGTGTACCTCGGCTATATACAATATAATATATTAATGAATTTCATAAGAAAGCGGACAGTATAGATCGATTAAGAACTGAACAGGATTGATCGACTTTTTAGTCTGAGTTATCAGCGTCATGGGTTCATAAATTTGGAAGCTTTCTGTAGGTGCCAGTTAGGGGTCCTTCTAAAGCTTCCTATATGTTGTTTCAGTTTTGTGACTCCTATTTTTGTTATGCTTGTTCGAATATCTATTTCTGCAGGCTAGTCAAAGATTTGACCACTCCCACACACCAATTTCTCTTGCCGATAGATATAGAATATATAAAAAAAACTTTTCCTAATTTTATTTTTAAAGACTTTTAAAATGCGCAATATAACATTCGCCATTACTCTTCTGACAGTGATAATAGATCTTCTTCTTCTTCTTCTTCTTCTTCTTCTTCAAAGTGCCGTGTCCCTTCAGGACGTGGAAGATCATGGCCCACCACATTTCCCCATCCCTTGTGCCTTTAGCAGCGATTCTTCATGGGCAAAGCCTATCAGCCTCCCGTTCCACCATTCACACCTGCCACCTCACTATTTCTCCTTCCATCGATATCCCTTGTGAGTATTAAGTTCTCCAAGCCCTTCTTCCTCATTGTATTGCCAATAAATTTTAGCTGTCTCTCTCTCATTCTGAATATAAGTGTCCTTTTTCTTACCATTCCCTTCAAAAATTTCTTGTTGCTTACTTGCTCCAGCCATGGAATTCTCAGTATCCTTCTGTAGAACCACATTTCTGTTCTGTCTATATCTCTGAGATGAGGTATTATGATTACTTGCATTATTTACATTATTAGGACTGTTATCCTCATCTTCATTGCCATATTCACAACGTTTCGGACGTTGTACGCTCCGGCATTCTTCAGGTGACTTAAATTTCAAACCGAAACCGTTATTTCGTCCACATTGTTCTAGTTCCACGTGCCATGCCTCTTCCGGATGTCTTAGTTATTTCCCTATAGCTCAACTCTTCAAGGTTTTGGTTCACTACTGTTGTAGCCTGTTATTGAACTCACAACTATTTGAGTCTAGTCACTGGATCTAACCAACGTCTATATCCACTGAGCCATGTGACCTTGAGGATATTTGTGGGATGGGGTTGAAATAATAGACAGAGAGCATCACTGGAAAATACGAAAACTTAAGAAAATCGGCATATATGCTTGGGCACAAAAATCTCCTGAGCCGACCAAGCATAGAAATAAATACAATAATAAGGAGTGCCAGAGAAAAGCAAACAATAACAAAAAATGTATTAATAAAAACAAAAATTGCAATATAAGGACTGGTATAAATGGTTGCTGAGACACTAGGTTTATAAGTCCCCAAAATTCATAGACTTATAAACCTAATGTCTCAGCACATTATTGTTGCCTCCAATTTTCTTCTCTTCTTGTGTGGACAAATTGTCCAGCATTCAATGCCAGGCAAAAGAATTGATATTTCAAAGCAATTTAGCACTCTTTTCACTGTTCTCATGACTTTTAGTACTTTAGCGTTTAAACAGTACAATACTCATATCCGGAATCCCTCATATCCGGAATCCCTCATATCTGGAGTGCCTCATATCCGGAATCCCTCATATCCAGAGTGCCTCATATCCGGAATCCCTCATATCCGGAATCCCTCATATTCGGAGTGCCTCATATCCGGAATCCCGCATAAAATCCAGGTAGCATTAGAGACGAAAAATTAAATGCGAATCGAAATATGTTTTTTTAGAAAATGATTCATTGTAATATAAATTGAATTGCACCACATGTTTCATTTAAAAGAACTGATCCGACGTGCAAATATTCGGAATAACAAATGAGACATTACTCTGTTTATTGAACAATTTAGTTCATGCCACATTGACTGATAAACTCCTACAAAAAAATTCTCAAATTGCTATATTAGTAAAAAAAAACGCACTCACTTAAAATTTCAAAAAAAAAAAAAAAATTCAAACTTAGCGTTGCGACTGCACGCTCCATAAGTTTGTACCTCTTAACAATAATATATTTCAAAAAAATATATTTCGATTATTAGCATTATATTTTTTCGTCTCGCAAACTACATGAATTTTACCAAAAACAAAATAATTCCCATGCCTGAGGATTACTGTATGTACAGTTGAATGTACTAGCAGATTAAAAAAAAGAAAGACCTTATACAGCTTTTAGTTATTAAAAACAAGGATCATAACATTCATCGAGTGGTTCGTGGGTTAATGCAACTTTAAAATATTGTTTGCGAAGAGATTTCGCCATTAATTTCGTCTTAATAAATGAAGAGGACGGAG